CCCAGAGCTGAAGGCAGTACTGCAGGGGGGGTCTCACCAGAGCGGAGCAGAGGGGCAGAATCCCCTCCCTCGCCCAGCTGGTCACGCTGCTTTTGTTGCAGCCCAGGGTAGGGTTGGCTTTCTGGGCTGTGCGCACAAATTGCTGGCTCATATCCAATTATTCATCCACCAGCACCCCCAAGTCCTTCTCTGCAGGGCTGCTCTCAATCCATTCTTCCCTCAGCCTGTATTGATACTGGGGTTTGCCCTGACCCATGTGCAGGACCTTGCACTTGGCCTTGCTGAACTTCATGAGGTTCATGTGAGCCCACTTCTCAAGGTTGTCCAGATCCCTCTGAACAGCATCTCGTCCCTCAGGCGTGTCAACCGCACCACTCAGCTTGGCATCATCTGTAAATTTGCTCAGGGTGCACTCGATCCCACTGTCTACAAGGCAAGCGTAGCTTTTTATTTTCCTTTTGATCTTATTGCATATACCAAATGGCATCAAAAATACTATCTTTCCTTTCCCCCGTACAACTGAAGATTTTGCATTAGTTTTTTTTTAAATTTATTTGCTTGATTACTGCACCACTTCCTGATTTTTCAACTACTACTATTTCCCCATGTTAATGCATTCCAAATACGGCTCCTAAAACATCACTGACCTTTATAATTAGCACATCAGCTACACTGATCCTTCACTTGCTGCTCCTCCTCCTCTGTTAATTAATTATTCTGAAATCTGATAGTTCTGTGTATCTGATGCAGCACACAATGGCACTTGACTAGCTCCAGCAAAAAACCTCAGACTGTTAGGTTATGTGACAACAGCTTGTCTGCACACCCACGATGGAGCTCAGAAAGACAATGGCAGGATGGGAAGCCCAAATAATAGCTAGTCCCTAGCCCATTCACAGAAGCCATCAGCCCATCAAATGTCCATCTGCACAGGCTGAGAGGAGCACAGGGATGCACTATGGCAGGTGGGAACCCAAATCAAGAGCTTCTCAACACCTTGTCTGGGCCCCTGCCAGGGCTGTCCCAGGAAAGCCATCAGCCCCATTGATCCTGGCATGAAAGTCATCACAATGAGTCATCAGAATTTTTCTGGATCACTTTTTGGACTAAGGGGGGGCAGGGGGGAATGGCTGGGATGGCAGTGGATGTGGGGGCCGGGGTGAAGGTTGCTGCCTAAGGGTTGGACACATTATGGGATGCAGGGGAAAGCCATTTAGGATCACAAAGGACTTATTATGGGATGTTTAAGGTAGGAACCAAAGGCAGGAAAAGAGAGAGGTTTAAGAGTTTAGGTGATTTGGGGAGGACCGAGTGCGGGAAATCAGAGGTAAGGGTATAAAAACAGCTAGTCGTGTGCAAATAGCTGGCCGGTCAGTAAGTTTGTCTGGCCATGTCCTGCACCTGATCAATGCAGTTTGCCCTATCTTCTTAGTACATTCCTTTCTCTTTCCTGGAAGAGAGGCTGTGTATTCAGTCTGTGTGAGTGTATGCAGGTGTGAGCGTCAGCAATTGGAGTCAGATCACAGCTCCGAGGGCCCGTGTGTCCACGGTGCCAACAACTGAAGACAGTGCAGGTGTGCAAGTGAGCATGTGATCGCTAGCAAAGATCAAGTCAGAGTAATCGGTGAATAAATCAAGTGGCCTGGGAGCAAGGGGATGAGCGGGTCTGTAAGGGCCAGCTCTGGGTGACAGAGCACTCGGCACGGAGGGGCAGAGGTCTGCTAAGGGACCTGGAAAGTCCTGGCCAGCTGTTTGTCTGCATGGTCTGTACCAACAATCGGAGAAGGACTGCAGCCTTGGAGGTTTGTATATCCAAGTGCCAGCAACTGAGGAGACTGGGATCCAGGGACCAGCTACTGAGCAGACTGAGTGTCTGAGATCAGCTGCTGCAGGGATCCACCTTGTACATATATATATATTCTCACGAGTAGACTTGCATCTTGCTCAGCCAGAGAAGCAAGCAGGATGTGGCTGTAGCGTCTATGTTTGTGTGAGTGCTCCGAGTGCTTGTTTCTGATCCATGTGGCCAGCCATGTATATATGTAGTGTATATGTGTTTTCTGTGTGCATGTGCCTACTGAGAATACATCTTCAGCCTTGCTACTGGCTGGACTTTGGGACACTGAGCAGCAGCAGCCTCACCTCTCTTGGACTGCCTGATCCAGTATAACGTATTTTCCTCCAACACAGCCTTTCTCAGACATCATGCTTTACAGACTTGACTTTTCCCAGTGAGAATCCAGATTTAAAGACCTCTCAAAAATTATGACAGTATGGAACTGACTGATAAGAAACACCAAGATGCAACTGTAAGCATGTATGGAAAGCCTAGGGGAATGCAAATAGAAGAAAAGGACAAAATTCATTAAGTGTGCGCAAGAATAGTAGGTTACCTGGAGGTTTAGGATTTTGGAAAATAGGATAAGAGAAAGTACCTCATATAATTTATTTCGATATTCTGCCACAGACAGCTGCATATCATCATCTAAAGGAAGAATCACATCATAATGCAGAGAGGGCTCCCTGGCAGGACAGTGAAACCTAAGAAGATGATAACACATAATGTAATTCACTAAGACTAAAAATAGCACACAGATTAATAAAATGTTAAAAATGATTGTTAAATCATCTAGCGTGACCTCCAGTATAAATAGGGTTAGAGAAAATTAAGAATTAGCTTTGTCTTTTTTTTTTTTTTTTCCTATCATGCATATAAAGAAAACTTGTGCCAAGAGCAGGTCTATAACATCTCTGCACATTGATTTTACTCTCACCTTTTCACATAAGGATGCTGCAGAGCCTCCTCTGCTGTGAGTCTTTTATCAGGGTTAAATACTAAAAGTTTCTTCAGAAGATCCAAGGCAGGCAATGGAGTAGAGGACGGTAAAATCTCCTCAAATGTTACTCGCTGCCTAGAGGTCAGAAAACAACAATATAAGATCCCAGTATCTAATTCACAGTGAAGGCATGAATTATCACAGAATCACAGAACTGATTTGGTTCGAAGAGACCTCTGGGATCATCAAGTCCAACCTTTGCCCTAACACCACCGTGTCAACTAGAACGTGGCACTAAGTGCCACACCCAGTCTTTTCTTAAAGACCTCCAGGGATGGTGACTCCACCACCTCCCTGGGCAGCCCATTCCAATGCCTAACGACCCCTTCTGTGAAGAAAGGCGTCCTCATTTCTAGCCTGAGCTTCCCCTGGGCACAGTTTCAGACTATGCCCCCTTGTCCTGTCACTGGTTGCCTGGGAGAAGAGGCTGACCCCCACCTGGCTACAACCTCCTTTCAGATCATTGTAGAGAGCGATCAGGTCTCCCCTCAGCCTCCTCTTCTCCAGGCTAAACAACCCCAGCTCCCTCAGCCGCTCCTCATAAGACTTATAGTTCTGGGAAACACATCAACGTGACACCTAACTCCAGAGTTCACTCACAAATAGTGTGTCATAATCCTGCAACACTCTAAAGTATAGGCCTGTGACTACGGTAAAGTCTTTTACCCCGTTGATTACGTGTGAATGCCTCCCTCCTAGTGCTAGGAACCTACATGAAATGCCTAACTTGCAGGTCTAGTCTTATTCTTGTTTCAGTGGAAAGAGAGAGAGATATCAGACAGTATCAGACACAGGGGAACAGCAAGACCTCTGGAAAAAGAGTCCTCCTTTTGTTCTTTTGACAATGCAGGGAGCCTAAACTCCTAACTTGGATGTTTCAGTTGAACTGTTAAAGACCCCATGAATCCAGCCCTTAGACTGAAAAAAAAAAAAAAAAAAAAATCACAGTAAGTGTCATTAAGCAGCTGGAATGAGGCTGTCAGACTGAATAGATTCAGGCTTTCCATGGGTGAACCAATGACATCAGGTACCCAAATGACTCAGGAGAGGAAAATATTCTAATTTTGAGAAAGTACGCATGACAATAGCTTGGAACGTAGGCCCAATCTCATTTTGTTTTGTTATTCCCAGATTATGTCATTGGTCTTCTCATCTTTTTGTTTTGTTTTATTTTAAACATTACATCCCTCCCCTAGAGATAGTTGAATTTGCAGAAATCATTTCCACTCATGAATGCACTGGAAGGTGAACTTCAGGGGAACTTTTTGTCAACATCATACAGTAGATTGTTGAATTCTGAGACACATCGAACATACAAGGCTTACCAGGAACTCATGTGGTTAATAACTGACGCCCTGTAATCTGATTGCATAGCCAAAATATCTGCAATAATGAAAAGATACTGTTAATGCCAAGATTAGGATTACCAGAGCTATACAGTTTATGAAGGAAAGCAAATATTTTATAGTAACATAGGATATTATCCTAATAAAATTCAATGAGAGATCTTATGGAAAGGGAATGGAATACTTACTTACAAATTTTCTAAGTCGATTTTCTCAATTCCTATTCATTCTATCACAGATTTCATAAATTTGCATTCTTATACCCACATATGCAGAAGCACCAAGATATCTGAGGCCAAATGATCTGGCCAGGATCACTTGTGTGGGACACAGAGAACAAGGGATACCAGCTATTGATTTCCTCATCACATCCGTGGGGGTTCTTTTTGATATATCTGTCATATTCTCAAAGAGTCAACAGTTGATAGGGAATGTTTCTTTTCTTCAGTTTTGCTTCTTTGGCCTCCATAAATCCTCAGCAAAGCTGCTGCTCATAGGTTGGTTTTCCTCGCCTACAATAATGTTTTGAACAAGTGTCTGTTTTCACCTGTTCGGCTAAAAGAAAAAGAAATTGTGCCTGTGATATGCTTCAACCTTGCAGCCATTGTTCCGTGGTAAGGATATGGGACCTTCTGCTAATGAGTCATTTGTCCTGTGGTCTTGTCTTAGAGTGCAGACCTTCTGGTTATGACATTATCAACACATTCCTCAATTGTATTGCTGAGAATGGAATAGCATTCTTTGTTATTAGTGCCAGCTATTCTTTTAACTCCTGTCTTGGAGTTTTCACAGACACATTTCCATTCATATTTCATTCATAGCAACCAAGTCTCTCATAAAAACTATAAATAACTTTAAGCTTGAATTGAATTCTCCAAAACTGTGATGTCCTTAAACTGAAGGTAGTTATTTTTCTAAAAAATATTTGCTAGCTCAGTTAGAAAATATCAACATGTTGTAAAAGTTTATAAAGTCTACGGGCTGTTAGACTGGAACTCATGGAAGACAATCATCATCATCATCATCATAATCCTTTCTGGATTTAACATATATTTACTCCAGCTTTCACTTCTGTGTTTAGATTTCCAGACCAAAAAGTCCAATTTACCTTTACTATGCCAGGCCCACTGAAGTATGATACTCCGTTTTAAACTGTTATCCTCTTATAAATCTCAAAAATGTTTTGAAGGACTGGTTCTTGTTTCTCATCTAATCAAGTACAGGCATATTTTCCTCTAACACTAACATTTCATACTTAAGTCTTTAGTTTCCTTGGGAAGACGTTAGAATGACTCACAAGAGATATCTTTTTCCTTGATCCAGCTAGGCTGCTTTCTTTCACTCTTTTAATTTCTTCTCTAAATACTTTTCCCTGTAGAAGAGTCCTACCTTCTGGGGATGGGGCAGGAATGACCCTCAAGATCTGCTCTATTTGATTCACTGTTGATGTTCCAGGAAAAAGAGGTTTCCCAAGTAGTAGCTCTCCAAGAATACAGCCAATGCTCCACATGTCTACACCTTTAGTGTAACTACAAATAAGAATAGAACAGAGTTAGGACTAAATCAAGCAAGTATTTTTCTGAACCTGGTATTCACATCATCTACATTAGCTACTTTTGCTAGAAAAACAAGCTTGATGTCTCCTTGAATATGAGCGCTCACAGGTTTTAACTATAAAGTGAGTGAGATTCAGGACTCATGAAACTGGCAAGCATAAAACAGAAAGGAGATTTAGCCTACTAAAAGTCTATCCTTATTCTAGGAAACCATAAAAGGAAATATATTAAAAGGTAAATGCCAGGACAAGGTAATATATACTTTTCATATGACCAACAGTGAAGACACAAGTTGCTGCTTGAAAACAACTGACTTTTCAGGGCATAACGTATCTGGAAAGTAGTTACAATTACTGAAGCAAAGTAAATGCCAAACAATGGATAAACGACAGTTTGCAAAACATCCACATTTCAAATTTGGGATACTAACCCAACCTATGTTTATTTTCTTTTCTGATCAATAAGATTTTGTATATTTAGGTCAAAAAAAGGACTAAGCCTGACTAATAGGTATCTGATTTAACATTTGATTACAGAATATTTTCTGAAGGTCTATCAAAAACCTCTCCTTAAATTTGGAAAAAAGGACTAAGGTACTGAACCAAATTTTGTAAAGATGCAGATTTAAGGGCAGAAAGAGTAAGTCTAGAAGGAGAAAGGATGACAAAAAGATGAGCTGATAATGTATGTAAATGGACAATCTAAGAAGCCAGGAAGGAAATGTACGTGTAATGAGAGATTTTTATGTTGCAGTACTGAAGTTTAAATGCATATTGAGAAAATGAACTGCTGACATGATATTGCATCTGATGACATCTAAAGTGAAAAAATTTAAGACTTTTAGACAATAAATTTTCCCAGTGGTGAAGAAATTCTAGAATCTCATCCCTTTGCTTATATTAAGCAGTTACCTCCGAGAGGAAAGTAAGATCTCAGGGGCTCGGTACCAACGTGTCGCCACATATTCCGTTAGAGCAGGGTTGCCTTGGTCCTCATTCAGCTGACGTAAAGAACGGGCCAGCCCAAAATCACAAAGTTTGACAAAGCAGTCTGCATCCAGCAAGATATTTGAAGGCTGAATTGAACAAAGGAAAATTAATAAGCTTTTTACTCTCTGAATGGCAGAAGACTATTATCAAGGGTCTTTTACTAGTCTCTTTTCATATTTTTCCATTTAGTGTTTAACAGAAGACTTGAGTGAAGGATAAAGACTATGACTGAAATATACCTTCTGATCTCTGTGAATAACATTTCCTGAGTGGATGAATTTAGTTGCCTTCAGGAGTTGGTAGATAATGTAACACTTGTGGATATCTTTCAGCATATTCCCCTTCTTAATCACAGCATGTAAATCTGTCTCTGCAATATATTACATCAGTAATATATTTACATCAGTGAAGGATTACCAGGTTGTGAATATAAGTTCCTCAAAGCAAGGCCAGAATAGACCATTGTTCCAAACGGTAATCTTTCAAGTGCATCCTCAACAGAAGTTTACGCTGTAATTACTAATATTACTGCAATCTCTCTGTATTATCAGTTTGACTTGCAGCTCATGCTACAGTAACTGGTCTATTATTGCATACTTTTCCTATAATAAAATTGCACATAGTCTCTTCCATACGCAACTCTTCGGTCTCTACAAGCCTTCTAATTTGTTGCTTACTGCCATCTTTTCTTCATCTTCTTCAGCCAGTTCTCATATAAGTATTATTCCCTTCAAAGTTTCACTGTTATTCCCATCTAATCACAACTGATATATAAAAAACCCACCCTGTACTGCTCCTACTTCTATGTCTACTTATATTAATATTCATGTAAATCATCACACACTACTATCAAAAACCAAAGGGAACTAAGATAACTCATAAGAAAGGCTGTATTTAAATGGCTGATGCAATGCTGAGTCTCACCCATGGACTCAAAGATGAGGTAGATGTCTTTGTCATTCTCAGCTCGGATAACATCAAGCAGCTTGATGATATTTGGATGTTCTCCAAATTCCTGCAGAGGGAAGAGACCCAACTGTCAAAATCGAGTGTCTTGCTTGTGAATCATAAAAAAGGACAAGAACCTATTTCATTTTGTATTATTGTCTAGAACAAACATTAACATGCTATTTCCTTCACTATGCTTCTACTGAAATAAATTTTAAAAAGGATTTAAGCTTGCTCCACAGTATGAAACCAGGCAGTTAATCAAAAAAAAAAAAAAGTAGTCTGTTGTCTGAGACATTAGTTCTAAAAATCCCTCTGTACCATTTGTGAATAAAATCCAGTCAACTTTATGCACGTTATATTTCCTGCT